AGTTGAGCACTGCATATCTTTTTCTTCTAACCCTCCCACTCCTGTCTCCTAACGAACATGGCAATCAAGTGCGTCCGTTTGCCGAATGCACCTGAATGCACGGGAAGCTTACCTGAGGCACATGTTGACAATAACGAGGCCGTTTCCAGAATTGGACATTTTGTCACTGAGTAAAAATAAAATGTCATGAGTAAAGATTAATCTCTTTATAGTGCAATTCTTAACCTTTTTATATTAATGTCACTATTGGAACAATGTATCTTGGATGTTTTCACTATGTATCTTTGCTACGCAACACCGATGTACATGTTTACATCCGGTTTTAGAATTGCATTATTGATCATGAGTAACGTAATAATATTATTCGAGTGATGCCCAACTCTGTCCGTTGTGAGAGACAAATATTTGAATTATGCAATTTTTTGTCTCTGTCGATGCGTGTCACCCAAAATGAGTTCGCGTGTCACCTCTGACACACGTGTCATAGGTTCGCCATCACTGGCTTAGGCCTTTATATATATAGATAGGTTATTTTCCCTTGTTGTCATGTGTACAAGAGAGCTCTCTTGTCTTCTGAACTTGACTTGTACACTCAAATCTCTCAACTGTGTTTTTTAAAAAAGCTTTTTAAAAAAAAGACTTAAAAATAGTTTTTCCTGTATCTTTTATACCTTATTGAAAGATGATCAGCCCTGGCCAGGTGGCTCAGTTGGTTGGAGTGTCGTGTCCTACACCAAAAGGTTGTGGGCTTGATTTGGTTAAGGCACATACCTAGGTTTTGGGTTCAATCCCCAGTCAGAATGCATGTGGGAGTCAATTATTGGATATTTCTCGTTCTTTCTCGTTCTTTCCCTTTCTCTAAAATCAATAAAAACATTCTCAAGTGAGAATGAAAAAAAAAGATGATTCAATATTTCGGTCAGTTCAATAAGAAACTGAAGAATGGCCCTAGCCGGTTTGGCACAGTGGATAGAGCTTAGGCTCGTGGAAAGAAGAGTCCCAGGTTTGATTCCGGTCAAGAGCACATGCCTGGGTTGCGGGCTCAGTCTCCAGTAGGGATGTGCAGGAGGCAGCCGATGAATGATTCTCATCATTCATGTTCCTATCTCCTCCTCTCCCTTCCTCTCTGAAATCAATAAAAATATATTTTAAAAAAAGAAACTGAAGAATGATATATTAGTGATGATATGTTTCACTATTGCACATTCTTTAAGGTAATTTCATAATTCTTTCATTTTCTTATTTTAGTTTTTAAAAAAAATCAGTTGAGAAAAATTGGTTAGTAAAGATGAACTAGTTCTGAAGATGGTGACATAGCAAAAGTATTTTAAGATGTAAGAAAAATAAGATCACTAAGATACTATAATTTATGTTAGATTTTATAAGGGTCTAATGAACCTGTATAGTAATTGCAAAATAGAATGAGTTTTACCCTATACAAATTAAGAAAACAAAATTTCTTTGTTTTTTGAAGACCTCTAAAATAAAATAGTATTCTTAGAGGAAGATCTTCATGAAAAATAAAACCTTAAAAATATTTAGAACTGCCCTAGCTGGTTTGGCTCAGTGATAGAGCATCAGCCTGCGGACTGAAGGGTCCCAGGTTCGATTCCAGTCAAGGGCATGTACCTGGGTTGCGGGCACATCCCCAATAGGGAGTGTGCAGGAGGCAGCTGATCTATGTTTCTCTCTCATCGATGTTTTTAACTCTCTATCCCTCTCCTTTCCTCTCTGTAAAAAATCAATAAAATACATTTAAAAAAATATTTAGAACTGCTCAAAAATAAATTAAAACACCAAAAAATTAGTCCAAAGGGCACTGACAGTATACCAAAGGTTATATTTTGAGATCTATACTTTTTGAGGTTATACTTTTATGAGATCTATACCATTATTCCCATTTTATAGATAACAAAACTTAGTGTTCAAATTGTTAAGAAACTTTCAGTCAGTCCAACTCTAGAATCTGTGCTTATAACACTATTCCATCTCCCCAGATCAGTAATCCCCTTATTTTAATCTCTCACATCATCCTATAGTTTTCCTTCAAAAATTATATATATCATCTTATGCTATAAGGGCAGAAAGTATGTACTGGTATGTTTGGCTCTATCACACCACTGTTTTGCTCTATCACAGTATGTCATTGCATATAATATAGTGCCTGGCACAAAATCAGTAGAACTGAATTAATGAAGAATCATTTAATCAATGTGCTTAGCATCCTACCAGTTAGCATGGGCAAAGAAATACTTTATGTATTGAGCACATAATCTGTTAAGAGCAAGTTATAAGCTCTGGAATAAGGAGATTAAAACATAATGCCTGTTCTCAAGGAACCTTTGATCTATGACATATAGGTGGGTTATAGGGTGCAAGGACAGTGGCATAAGGATTAATAATAATACCGATGGGAAGTATAGGTAGTTGATCTATAGAGAGCTTCACCACTCTCTAGGAGTGTCATAGGGAGTCATCATGGAGGACTCTTGCTTCCAGAGAAAATTTTTCCATATATTTAAATGTCGCCTCACTTAAGGATTTTTATAAAGAAAATTTTGTTTCCTTTTTCTAACTAATCATATATTCCAGGAATATCTTCTAAGTCTTACATGATCTATTTAGCTAGATATCCTCTCTCTTTTTTTTTCTTAGAGAATAGGAATTAGTGGTGACTATTCATACTTAGGTTTTAAGGATCATTATTAAGACATTCTCCAGTCTTTTTTTTTCTTCAGGCTATATAATTTCATTTTTAAAAAGCTTTCATCATAAATTTATTTTCCTGACCTCCAGTCATAATTACTACTTCCCTCTGACCTATGTCCAAAATTCCCAGGTTTCTTCTAAGTGGTGAAACTGAGATTTGACCACATTCCTTAAAATAGGACCATTAGAAGAGGTTAATGGGGGGAAAAGGACGACCTATGTAATACTTTTAACAATAAAGATTAAAAAATAATAGAAGCATCATAGAATCTCTGTTTTCTGTTTTATTTTATAGACATATTAGCATCAAATTTCCCTCTAATTGATAATAGCAGTAAGTAACTTTGTACAAGTCATGTTTCTGTGATAAATTCGACCATGCCTTTTGATATTCATGCCCTTGTGTGGTGTTCTTCTCTTGAATCTTGGCTGGCCCTGAGACCTGCTTTAACCAACAGAATTCAGAAGAAGTGCCATTGTACTTGTTACAGACTTAAGCCTTAAGAAGACGTAGCAACTTTCAGGGGCG